GAGGCTTGTAAATGCCGAACTTGGTTAAAGGGGGCCCAAAGACCAAGATATCATTCAATTTATAAGACTTAAAATAAGCAGACATCCACGGTATTCAAAGTCACTTGCTTAACTTCTATGCTAAACGAAGATGAATGAACTCGAATTCAAGGTGGCCCCACAAAGCGATTTGGCAAAGTCTTCTTCTGTCTGTCAAATCGAGAACTGATCAATTTTGCTTTTTATATTTTATTCTCTCTCGAAAATATATTGTATAAGGTCATCTTCTTTGGAACCCGGCCATACAGGTTTCGGCCAGAAGATGCTAAACGCTGTAGTTTCTCCGGATCCGACGAATGTCTTTTCTCTTGGCAGGGCTAACGGGGCGTATACCTAATATGCGATGCGAACTTGAGTTACTTTTCCAATTCACTTTTCCCGCGCGGCCTTTCTCCCCACCAAACACTATATATCATATCAATTTCGCAGATATATTCATTATACAAATATGATTTATCACGTCTGACACTTGGGCCAAACCACTTGTCAAATGGGAAATAACACAGCGACAACGACACCACGCTGTGATTTTAGATAAATTCATAACTCAAGCCCGACTTGTCTTGCCTTCAAAGTTCAAATCACTTGGCACTCACACTCGGCTCGCTCACACTCACACATGCTGGATCTCTCTGTATTTTATGCTAATTATTTATTTATTATTTATGCGTTATTTCAGCGCGCGTTTGCTTCGATAAGCCTCAAATGGAGAGACACCATTTACATTTACAGTTATGTCGGGGGCTGTTACAGTTTGTTTTCATTCTATATTTAAGTTTTATTTGCGCTCTTGGCATTTTGGATTAAATCAGCTGTTGCCGCTGGCGCATTTCGATCTAACGAACTTGAAAAACGATAACAACCCGCCGGCCGACAAATGTTTATTAGTATTTTCGGTTGCCCCTGCCGTCACTCGGTTGTATTTCGTAGTAGTATATTGAGAATAATAAGCGGGCTTAGAGTAGAATTTATTTAATTTTAAGAGCCCAGGCCTTAAAGGAATTTCGTAGTTACGCCGAACATATGTTTCGGTTGCCGATAACTGGGGCAGCAGGAAATTCCCAGAACTCTGATTGAATGGGGTCCGTTGTTTACTTAGTTCGTACGGGAATCCACAATTTTTCCACTTAAAATAAAAGCAATGGATAAGAACTAAATAAAAGTTGTGCAAGTTTCTTATCCAGCGGGCTTGTGTGTTAATTCATTATTTTAAAGATGGTTGGGGGATTGAAATTAATATTATTTTTTATTCTTCAAGGGACTAGGCTAGTGTCCAAAGATTCAAATATTTTTAAAGATTTTCCAGAATTTTGTTTATTAAATTTAATTCAATTATAAACCAATTAAGACATGTTCTAAACAATTATCACCATCTATAAGCCCAAGGAAATGAAGCCTTGGTCTATTCATTGGCCTCAAGTCGCTTATTTGATTACAGAACTCGTTCTTGATATCAGTCCACTACTATTTTCGTTCACTGTTTGTTTTGTTTGTTTGACAACATCATGATCATCATGATCGGCGGTGAGAGAGATAGTTATTATGGGCGCCGGCTTCACAGTTAGCTGGATACGTCAGTTGAAACCACTTTCGGTTGGATTCGAAAAGCTTAAACTAGATTCGAAATCCAGATCTTTGCAACCATTCAATAACAAGATTTACATGCCTTAGTTGCCAACCACAAAAATTCAAGGAAACCTCAGCAGCAAACAAAACTGCAGTGCAAACAAACCATAAAAATCTAAAGATAACGCTTTGAAAGATCTTAATTTTCGTTATCATACAGGACATGGTTGCTTCTCAGAAAAAACTGCCTGGTTAATGGTTGCCCCAATGGATTTCCCCCATTTTGTTGCTACAATTAATAAAATTGTAATAGAAATGGGGAAATTTGCGGTGAAGTCAACATCCTCCGGTGCATTCGCACTCTTTACGGACAGCCTTTGCCCGCCGACTTCGGCTCTAAAATGCTCCATTTTAACTGATGCAAATCGCTTATCAAGACAAGAAAGTGCCAGCCATACGCATACTTTTGTAAATTGATTTTTTACAGGGTGATAAAAGAAATGAGTAACATCACGACCAGCAGAAAAGTTGCAACTTCTATATATTTATTTGTAATATTATTATATTTTTCAAATTCGTGACACGATCGATAAAAACCTTCAACGTTAGTAGCTTGAATTCCTATTATTTATGAAAAACTATATATTGTCTTGATAAATTTTTAAATAATATTAAATAAGTTACTGGGGATAATCTAAAATCATATATTTACAAATATACTTGTTCACAATCGAACCCTTTTATGGTCACCCTGTTTGGCATCGTCTGAGTGGGACACGGCACCCGGCGTCCAGGCATCCATTCCTGCTCCGCTCTGCCTTTGTGGCTATCACTTCACTTGACTTCACTTTTGAGCCGGCGGTAGCCTCGCCGTCTCCGCTGGACCGCCCCCTGGCAACCTCTTTGCCTGTGATAAGAGCCCCCGCTCTGCCCGTCCCTGTTGCACCGCTTGGTCATCGCTGCAAAAGGTCTTCTTTGTTGTGCGTTGGAAAAGAAGAAAAAATCATAACAACGGCGAGAAGAGGAAGATCGGCGGGAGAAGAGGCAGATGAAAAACAGCACGAGGTTTGCTGAGGCGGCAACGGCGCTTGGATGTAGCAATTTACAATAACAGCAGCCAAGACTACATTGAACAAAATACTAGGGCAGTCTTAAAAAAACTATTATAACAATAGTTAAATAGTAAAATAAAATCTTAATTAGCTATATCGAAAAACAAGCAAATAATTTAAGGATAAATTGTTGTATCTTAAGATAGAAAAATGTTTGCAAATTAAACCATAGCAACTGCTAGATAGATTTAATAGATTTAGACAACAAATTTTGGTTTTTGGGACAGTCTATTTTAAAAAACTTCTTAATTAATTTATACATACCATAATTCGCCATGAAATTACTGTTCAATTAATAAGAGTTATTGCTGTCTTTCTGATGTTAAAGGATCAGAATTGATCACTATATTTTCCCCAGTGTATACACACTATGCATATCGTAAAAGCAACAAAAACAATAGCAACAGCGGCTAAAACAACAGGCCAAGCAACAACAATCAAAGTAACAACAAAAAGAAAAACAAAAACAAAAGCAACGAGCGTCATCGACGACAACAACGACGACGACTACGACGACGACTACTCCAGCAACTGGCAGTGAGACGTTGATTGCCACGGAATGCCGTCAAACAGGTTAAAAATGTAGGTAGAAATTCAATTAAAAATTGGTTATTTATTTATTTTAGCATGCACAGAGATCGACTCCACATACGTAAATATCAGCCAGATATAGCCATAGCCATAGCCAGCCTCCCAGCCTTCCCCCTTTTCATTTTTACCGAGCAGCAATAGTAATTCGGTGAAGTAATTTAATTAAGCTTCATTCGTTATTTTGCGGCCTGTCGCCGTGCCAGGAGAACTCAAACTCCCGACTGTCAATCAAGCGGCGTCAAGCGTGCTGCTCGATTTGAAAGTGAAAACCCCGAAAAGCCCAGCATGTGGCCAGGTGACTGCAGGGGACTCTCCAGCGGGCCAGTTAGGAGCAACTGCAGCTCAGGTGCAACCAGTTCCAAAGAAATTTGCAATAAAAACAAATGTGCCCGAGAATTTACATGCGAATCAATCACATAAGAAATCAGGTGGATCGAAAAGTCAACGTGCTGATACCCTTTAAAGACTCATCCTAAGGACTTGAATATTTATAAAAATGAAATATATATTAAATGTAGGCTTTGATTTAATTACAATGAGTTTTCTAAGATCCTCAATCCTTCCTTAAAAATTAAATACGATTTTTTAATAAATAATAAAACATTATTCTAAAACCCAATGATTCAATTTCATAAATATTATTTCACTTACAACAAGCCGATCTTGACCCGAATCAATCCATAAAGCTTGCCCTTAGTGCGATCTGGTTGCTAATGTATCCAGCATCCAGTTAAAACCGATCCCATTTGCTTTTATTAATGCCAACCGCAGAAAGTTAATTTTAGCTGGGCTATTTATAAATTAGCAACCCACTAACGACCGATCGAGTCATGTGCGATCTGCCCATATATGATATACGTAAGTGCAGATATAGTTACGAGTCTGGAGCCCGTAACTGGTTGCAGATATTACGAGTGCGATCGCAACCCAGATCAGACGGGGAAACAGAATCAGAAACAGAAAAAAAAAAAAAAAATAAAATAAAATAAATGCGAGATGCGAGAATCATCTCAAATTTGCCTGATGGATCGTCTCGATTTGTGACTGTGACAGGCATGATTAAGATACTAATGCGTTCGATTTGCGGATCGCTTCTGCCCCAGCTGGAAGCTGCCTGCCCTGCTCCCAGACTGATCTGTGCAAAAAAAACGTAAAATTCACACTCAAATTCACTTGAATTGTTTTTAGTGTCTCGAGAGAACTTTGTTTCCAGGAAGTGGCCACCACCAGGTGATCCCTAATCGCATTTGCAATCCCCACCCCGTTTGATATATGATGGAAATGTTTCGCCTACGACCCAGCATGGAAAATCTGCGGTTGCCCAAGTGGAAGCTTTTTTCACCGCTAAAAATATTTGCTTGGGGGATTTCCAGAGTTTCAATGGCCCATAAAAATTTGCCCAAATATGTGAAATAGAATAAAATTTAGATGAACCTGCATGACACGCATATTTGGCAAGAAAATCTTCACACAGGCTGGTAAACATGGTGAAATGATGGCGCCCCTCTGTTGAAATCCTGAGAATCATAGTTTCGCTGAAATATCGTTTTGTGTTTTCTGTGTTTGTGTGCCAAAAGATTGAGGCGATTGTTTGGAAAACCTTTATTCAAATAAATACTTCTCTTTGCAGAGAAAATTCCTAATAGTTAGGGGATTATTTAATAAATCAGGAAGAATAAAAACACATAGATGTTCCAAAGAAATTTTCATAAAGCTGATTATTAATATGTTCAAGAACCCATTATAAATATAACCTAGTTAGTATTTATTCCATATTTATACCATTTTTATATTCACCCACTCATACTGGTGTTTATTCGTTCTATTTTGCCTAAAAATAAATGTAGTTTTGATGTTTCTGAATGGATGTATAAATATAGAAGCCGTGTTTGCCACAAATAAATTACCAACAAGTTATAGATCCTCGGCCAGCCATGGCGGACTTCCATCAAATTCATCTCCATCATTGGACAGGCATCTGTGGCTTTGATCCCTCCACACCCTTTCAATCTGTTTTATGGACCACCACCCATATATTGCTATCAACAAATATGCGCAATAGTTGGCCCGGTCCAAGGCTCCTCCTCGCGGGTAAATGAACTGTGGCACCTGTGTTGCCATGACCACCAACTTTAGGCCTACCGAGCGATTCGCCATGGAAATTTTCATGCAACTTTCGGCGTGTAAATAATTAAACCATAAAAGTCAATTGAAATTGAGAATGTTCCGATGGCAGAACAGGCCGGACCACTTAGAGGGAGCTGGGCGAAAAAAAAAAAATCGCATTTATTTATGGCATTTATGGGGGGGCCTGGTGGGGGTGGTGGCGTTGGCCATAAAAACTTATGGATAGCCAAATTCACGGATAAATTAAAATAATTGAAATACTTTGAAAAGTTAATTGCGATAGGCGAGGCAAGCTTGTTGATGCTAATGACCAAACATAAATTTCAGTGGGCCAAGAGCAGGTCGGCGGAGCATCTGGCTGGGCGGTCAGGGCGGTGGAGGAGCAGCTACATAGATACAGATACATCTTGTGGATGCTATTTCACCGGCCGGCAAGGCGCGCATATGTATGCAATATGTTTTTTCTCTCTCACTCGATTTTTAGCCTTTATTTTTTTCGCTGGCCTCGAAAATCACATGCCTCATTTCCATGAACGCATTTTCATTGCGCGGCCACAAATCATAAATGTTTCGCGCTCCCGGCCACAAAATATTTAGACAGATTTTGTTGCCAAAAGCCGTTTACAGGTGGTGGCTGCCGCGGTAGCCAGCGACCGGGGAGCTCCGGGGGCTGTAAGCACTCTGGCGAGAATCAACTTTGCAGCATCATCATCCCAGCTGGGCGGCGTGGTCAAGGTTAAGCGGCTGCTCCAACTATGCACATCTGTATCTCTATCTGTATCTGTATGTGTATTTGTAGCTATGTCTGTATCCGGGAATACAGCTGGATCCATACACCGAAAAAGGGAATTTTAACCAGATTATTTGCAAGTAAAAATTAATTAGGGAATAATAAGTAGTCATTTTATTTACATTTTCAACTATTATAATTTTAGAAATATTTATTAATTTAAACAATTTTAAGGCGTAATGCTTTTTCCATTTGTTTCTGTGTGCCGTATCTACTATGTCTGTATCTGTATCTGTTGGCTGGCGCTGCAGGACATCATCATCATCGGCAGGCGTGCGCTTCTTTTAACGATTTCAACAAAAATATTTCGCTTTCTGCGCTGCTCATTAATTCGTTTCGATTAAAAATTACTTTTTTTCTCCTTTAAATTTTTTTTTGCTGCTCATCTGCAGCTTGTTGTGCATAAAAATCACAGCAAGAGATCGCTCGGGGCGTCCCAGCAGCTCTGCCCCCGGCGAATGTATCTCACAGTCACCATCAGTATCTGAATTTGTATGGGATTTGGATTTGGATATGGATTTGGCATTTTGTCTAGCGGTGGAAAAACAAGTTGCCGTTGATGCGAGTGCCTCTGAAACTTTTATGGGCCGCACTTTTTTTTTTTGTTTTTGAGTTTTTGTTTGGCTTTTTCGGTTTTATTCTGGGGGCTTTTGTTTTGGTTTGTTTATGTTTAAAACGTACGCTATGTGCAATTGCTCTGGCAGCCCATTTGTTTATTATAAGGTCTCCGGCAGACTTCCCATGCGTGCCACTTGTTCTCACTTTGTGGCTTTGTTTAGTTTGGCTTTGGCTTTGGCAACTTAATATACAGAAATATACATATTCGCTTATGGCTGCACTCGCCTTATTTATTTGCCTTTGGCATATTTTTTATGCGCCCAGTTTCGCGGTCTCGCTCTCACGTAATCATTGCAAATATTTCGCACTGATTTGGGTTCGGGATTCCGAAATTGTTTCTATTTTCCGACTCTTGTTGTGGCGGTTATTGCTGCCGCTTTTGCTGCTGTAGCGGCTGCTTTGTTTATTTGCCAGACGTTGCCGTCGACTGCGAGGGTGTGTGTATTAGCGGGAAATAATAATTGAAAGTGTATTTCTGGGAATAGAATTTCAACAATTTGTAAGTGTTTTAGCCAATTTTTAGCGAATGCAAAAATCAGGAAGAAATATCGCATGATGTTTTGCTTAGGAATTCGATTTCGGTTCGATAGAAGCTTGTTCGAAAAATTAATGGTTTGTTTTCGATGCGAGTTGCACTGATGAATGTGTGGCGGCAAGGTTCCCTAGAAATTGGATCAGTCAACGGAAGACTGTGGGCCGAAATTCAACTAAGACAACTTTAAAATTAATAGAGTAAATATACTCACAGATTTTGGTGGGCCGATGAAGGTGATGGCCGACCTTTAAGACTATACGGAAATCGAATTTATTTACAAGACTTCCGTGGGTGTTTGCTAAATTATTAGCAATTTGTATAAAGTGAGATCGAATTTATTTTAATTACTATATACTATAATTTATAAACGTCCTACTTTTTGGTTCTTTTGTACGGCTCCTCACCTATTGACTTTCATTCTATAATGCCCAATGCATTGCAATGTGTGAGATATTGATATCTTCACTTTCATTATGCGATTCAATACTGTTCCCCGCCCCAAAAACAAACAGCAAAGCCCTAAAATGTATACCGTTAATCTCAATGAACTCACACCCGTCAAAAGAAAGCCAAATCCGAGCTTAGCCAAACAACTCGAACGCGGCCAAATGACTCGACAAATATCACGCATACGCCGCCGAGATCAATGGGCCTGCAATGCATTGCTTTCCACAAACACGCCCAGTCCGGAGAATATTAAAATCTCATTACCAATGCTAATTAAAGGAGGGAGTCGAAGCCGGAGTTGGGAGTTGCCCGTCTCCGATCCGTCAAGTTCAAAATCACAATTTTTTTTAACGCTTTTCCACGCGGAGAGCAGAGAGCGGATTGCCTCTGTGGATGCACGGGGCGAGCAATGTTTGTTATTTTCCAAGTGCCCACACGCTCTTACATAAATTATTAACAGCCGCGGGCAAATAAATAAACAAACATTGGACCAGCTACCGCGGCAGTCGCTGCTCTTCTTCGAATATATATTCGGCTGCAACTCTGGATCGTCGATCATCGCCAACGCCAAAGCAGCCATCATTCGTACCTGATGCTGCTCATTGATCGAGCAAAGTCCGAGTCCAAATCTAAATCGGAATTAAAGTTCATGTCCCTGGCATTGCCAGGGGCAAGACAATTTGATCAATTTGATATTAATTTGTAGATTTTCGTATCTAAAAAAATGTTTATATAATGTTATTGCTTTTTGTTAAGAAATTAAGGTATATTTTGAGTGGCAGTAATTTTTAGTTTGGTTTGGTTATATTTTGTAATGATATAAATAATATTTAATAATGATAAAAATAATATGGAAACTTCTTTAACTTTTTCTCTTCTTCTTTAAAAGACAATAAAGATTTTTTTAAAATTCATTGTATTGAATTTGTAAGCTCTTAAATACATAATTAGCTTAAATGTAAAATCCGTTAATATATTATTTCCAGAATAGAACCTTCTTTTTGTTTACAATATAAAAGATTTTATATTATGTTTTATTCCTCTTAAATATTTTTTTCTGTGCACTCATCTCTTCTTCCTTCTGTTTTTTTTTTGACTGCTCGTGTGCATTACCGACTACTTAACAGCAAATCACTAAACATGTTTAAATATTTTAACTTGTTCGGTAGCCTGTTTGTCATTTGCCAGCAGCCACATTTGCCGAGCGGCAATATCTAAAAAAAAAACGTCTCGCAGCGCGTCCCGTCCCAGAGGCCTTGACAAAAGAAATGAACTGTTTAAGAGTGCTGCAGGCCGATGGCTTCTCCGGCCAAGATCATCCCAGCGGAAAACTACAAAACCCAAATTGAAAAATCATCAACCTCGTCAGCTCTGAATCTTCTTTCTTGCTAGGCCCTGGTCAATATTTGACTAAGAAATTTTTCACATTACCAGCGATCGGGCGAGGGAATAGCAGACTGATCTCTTAGCTGTTCAGTTCCTATTTTTGGGGTGAATTTGTTAGGGGAAAAAGAGTAAATAAATAATTACAGTGAATATTACAATGAAAAGGAATATATTGGAATTACAAGTTTTAGTTAAGTAAGTGCTTTCATAATCATTAATCTTAGCCTATGTATGTTTTAAGTGTCCTTTTACGCTTTTACAAGGTTTTCTAGCTTTGGTTTTCATTACTTGAAAATTATATTACTTGCTCCAAGGGTATTTTCTAGTCGAATCCTTTCACTCAAGGCGCTCCTTCCTCCTTGGACTGCAGCATGTTGAGTGAAATGTTAGCAGCGCTCGCACAGATACAGGGGCAACTGGTGGCATGTGGTGGTTGCCTAGGAATTGTTTACATAGCAGTGAAGCCCAGCCTCGAGATCTCAGCCCAGTCTCAGCCGCAGCCTCAGAGCCAGAGCCCAGTACCGATCCCGATCCCGATCCCGTTCCCTGTTGTTTGATGTCGGCCTCGTTAAGAGCCAACGAAGCCAACGAGTTGCGGAGTTTCGAGGCAGCATGTACCGCGTTGTTTGCTCATGAACAGTTGAGCGTTGTCGTTGCCGGCCGCTTACTTTGCATTAAGTTATTTTCATTTTCAATAGGCCGTGGCTAGGCTTCACCTGGAGTCGGAGTCGAAGATGGAGATGGAGATGGAGATGCCCTGAGTATGAGTTCGATTCCTGGCCATGGAATGGAGTGGAGTGTGGAGTGTTTTCCCTTCGACGGCGCTCTCGAGTGCTCTCCAAACTGTTGAACTTCACTTGTTTTCCCCAAGCTATTAAGCCACTTGATCGGGCATATAGTATTTCCAGCCTCCTCCTTGCCTTGCTCATTTTTGGCCTTCCAGGAATTATGCAAATCCAGTGTCGAACATTGCGTTCCTCCGTCCCAACGACTGAGTAGCGTGTGATTTATGCCCCTAAATCGCTCTAGCCGCTACTTCTGATTGCATAATTAATGAAGTTCGGCCCGGATGACAAGTAACAATTTTTTGGTGGGAAAATCTTGGCGTGCGAGCCCCAATCTATCCATCCAGCCATCCATCCACCTTTAAATTTCCAGCAACAAGATACAAATCTC